CAGTTGGGGATCTTTGTTTGGTTTGGGAATGGTTGTAATTACTGACTGTAACATTTCAGCGGGGAATATCCCCGTAGAGGCAACATGGTTAAATAATTCAGAAAGATGTGTTGTAAGGTTGGATGCCATTATTTTGAAGTATTCGTTGGTAAAAACCGTCATTTCCTGGGGATTTGTGTAGGGGTAATGTTTTTATGCCACGGTCAATTTCTGCAGGGCAGATTGGTGTCGATAGCGAGGTAAGTTGGGACGCTGAGAGACTGGGTAAATTGGTATTATCTAGGAAATGTTGAATGGTATTGGCGGTGGGTTGGGGCGTATTAAAATCATCTTTGAGGTTGTATAATGTGTGGTAATATGTCGCAAACGCGTCAGATATGTCTCGAGGGTTTGTGAGCAATGCTTGGGTAGTGGGGTGTTTAATCGAGGCTATCTTAGTTTTAAGTTGCTTTTTGTTTAATCATTTTTGATAGGAGTGCATTTGCTTTATTACCAAGCGCGTAAAATTTGGATTTAGCTCTCTGTAGGTTGAGGTCGTATTCATGTAATAAAAGTATTCGTAGTTTGTTTCTATCAGAGGCCAGGGACTCGGCTATGATGGCATTTGGATTGGTTTTGTTAATTTCTTCGTTACGTTTAATGGAGGAGAGAATCTGATCTATTTGATGGGATCTTTGTTTTTTAATGCGGGAATTTAATTGTATGAGGATACCTCTCATGTAAGCCTTATAGGTGGGCCAGAGCGTAGGTTATAGGCATGTTCGGAGTTGCATTAGTCTCAAAAAACAAGTTATGAGCTTCTAAAATATGTTTCTGGTATTCAGGGTTCTTCAGGATTGCAGAGTTTAATCTCCAGATTGGCGGAATTGCTGAGCGCTGGTTTTCGTCCACTGAGATATGAATAGGAGCATGGTCAGACCATGTTATCGTGCCAATTGTAGATGATGTTATATGTTGCAGTGTCCATTTGTCCGTGAGGAAAAAATCGATTCTGGAGTAGGAAAGATGCGGATGGGAGTAGTAGGTGAAGTCTTTCTCGTTGCTATGTTGACATCTCCAGATGTCATAGAGGTCATGGTTGTGTAGGAATTGGTTGAAGGCCAGTTTAGTCGATCTTTTATTAAAAGATGAGTCTAGGTGCGGATTGCCGATGATTTTGAAGTCTCCTCCAATGATAATTTCTACCTTGTTTTAGTGAAGAGATGGTGTTGTAAAGTTTGTTAAAGAATTGCAGCTGGTTTTTATTGGGGCCATATACGTTCACTAAAGTGTAGAGGTTGTTGTTCAGTTGGCATATTAAAATGTGGTAGCGGCCTTGAGGGTCAACGGTTTCTGATATGAGTTGGAACTGGATAGAGTCTTTTATGGCTGTAATGACTCCATTTTTTTTTTTTTAAGTTCGTGGCCATGAAGAGGATGTTTGGGAAACGGTGTAGGTGGAATTTGGGTATCTTGTTTGTAGCGAAGTGGGATTCTTGTATAAAAACTATATCGGTCTGAAATTTCTTAGTTTCTTTATGAAGCATCGATCTTTTAAATGGAGAATTTAAACCCCGTACATTAAGGGATGTAATGTTGATCATTGTGCAGGTCTTGAAACGCTAAGCGATATATTTGAGGTGGTAATTGAATGGATGTGAGGTTGTGCTAGCAGCTCCATATGAGGGAGGAGGTAACCAAAAGTGAGAATTTGATTTAGGTTCGGTTGCTGGATTGAGGTGAAAATTCCATGAAAGTTCTTCATTAATCTGTTGGTAATAAGACGGATTTGGGCGACATGGTGATGGTGCCAAGGAGGGAGGTGGAAGGAAAAAAGGAGGGGTGTAAAAAAGAGACTTGCGGAAAATGCAAGTGGTCTGAGTAGCTTGCATTGCTACTTCAGATGTGGGGGGTTCAAACAGGCTTAGGCCGTAAAAAAGGTCAAGCCAAACAGTTTCTAGTAACATAAAACTTCAAAAACTCGGCCGATCGCCAGATATTGTTGAGGGAAAACGACATCTTTGAGGTGCTATGTTGATGTTATAGCGGGTACGATTAGTGACACGTTTAATCAGCTTCCATATTCTGAGAATGAGAGGGTGCGTTTTGTGGTGTATCTTCAGGTATTATTTTCCAGGCTTTAAGCAGATCTAGGCCTGCTTCGAGATTTTTAATGGTGAAGGTTTTACCATGTTGTTTCACGGTTAGTTTCGTGGGGAATCCCCATTGATATGGTATACTATGGTTCCTCAAGGCTTTAGTAATGGTAATCATCTTTTTGCGGTTAAGCAGCGTGGCCTTTGAGAGATCTGCGAATAACCGAATATTTGCATGTGGCGGTGGTAGTGTAGATGTATTTCTGGCTGCCAGCATGATTTTTATCCTTTATATGGTAGAAAATGAATCCGGGCTAAGACATCTCTAGGAATGGAGGCCGATAGGAATGTTGGTTTGGGTAGGCGGTGGGCTCGGTCTATGGCCAGCTCTAGATCTGAGATGGATGGAATGAGGGCTTTTATATATACTGTTGTATATAGGACAGTAATGTCTCATTAGTGACGCTTTCAGGTATGCCCTAAATTTGATATTATTACGCCTTGAGCGATCTTCTAGATCGGCTAGTTTCAAATTGATTTGTTCGATGTCCAAGGTATGATCTGAATGTGCGTCAATCAAATCATTATGCGCTAAAATGACGTCGCACATTTTGGTTTCAATGTGTTGTATTCTTTGCTCTTGGTGTTTGACTACATTAGTGATGTGTACCAAAGATGATGATAAATCATTATGCAGAGTTTGCTTAAGGGATAATAGCATGTTCTTCATGCATATTTCGGTTACTGGCTGATCTGTTGCTGGGGAATGCCTCTATGACAGGGAGGTCTGTGTATAATTGTGAGGGTGGATCACTGAGGGTCTGGGATGCCTGCTGTTGTTCAGGGTCCAGTCTAATTCTGGACTTGGCTGGCTTCTTGTGGTGGGGGACAGAGGGGGAGACAACTCACCAGGGTCCCCTGGATATAGTGTGTATCTCAGCCTTGGATCTTGTTGCTGGGCAGAGTAGTCCCCCTGCTGCCTGCTGTCCCTCATGTCACTGCCACCGGCGCCATCTTGGATTTCTGCCGTGATGGCAGGGAAGAAGTGTGTCAATTTCCCCCCCCGGCTGTCCTGGGGTTTTTCTCCTGCGGGGCATGTCTGGGGAGGATCGGGCACCGCTTATGCTGCTCTCTTTGCTGTCTGAATTCCCATGGGGTCAGTGTGAGCCGCGATCGTTTCTGGCGGCTGGACGGAGCGGTTCACACTACACGTCCATGCAGGAGCCGGCCGCGCATGCGCCCCTACTCAGCTTTGAATATTAAAAATAAATAAAATAGTGTTTTTAGTTTGTGGTGCTCAGATGCAGTGTAGTTCCGCACTAAGTGTGCTTAAAAACTAATCTCAAAGCATAGTACAAACTGAATATTTGTTATTAATACCTTAAAGGACAAAACACACTGCAATATTAGATTGACAATATACAGGCATTGTAGTATTCTATAATGTTGTAACATGAAAAAAAACAATTTAAAGAACTAACACACATCTAGAAATATGAACAGTTCCTTGATGAAAGGTAAGCAAATTAAAACATTTTCATGCTCCTGTAAAATTGAAGCTTCTCATAGTTCACAAAGGAAGTTAATGACTATTTGAAGCTAACAGACAATATATGGATTGCACCCTAGAGCTTTTTAAAATAGAATCTTATTTCTTTAATAGGATATGTCTGCAATGGGAACATCCAGTCTCATTTTCCAAAACAACCAATTAATCATCAGTGTTACCTTTTGAGTGGATTTTTATTGCTGGGTGCCATAACTCTCCCATATCCTTTTCTCTTGGTGCTGCTCTGGTAATAGTCAAACAGCACAGAAACACAAAGGAATGTAACAGGTCTAAAACGGCATCATTAGTACAACCAAGCACAGTTTTCAGCTTCCCGTACATCCTTCTTCAAAACAAGGTTCCATTCACACCATGCTAAAATGACAAAATCACACAACACGAATTTCAGATGCCATTCATTTTAATGGCACCTAAAAACACGGCACGGTTCTGCCGCAATTGTTGCCTGATAAATTGTGGCAAACCGTATTGCACAAAGCTTGTTACACAAATTAAGCTCTTGCTCCTTTTTTGGGCAACAAGCTTCACACAATGCAGTTTGCTGCGATTGCAGTGAGATTTATTGTGCAACAATCACTGCAGAACAGCACTGCATTTTTAGGGGCTATTAAAATGAATGGCATCTGAAATTCGCAATTTGTCATTTTAGCAGAACATTTTGAAATCGCAGGCAGAAACGCTGCAATTCTGCCCGTAATTCAAAATGCCCAGGAGCCTAAAATAAAAATGTATTACTTAAGGAGCTTTAAAGCTGAATTCTGTGCAGACAGCTAAATAGAAAACAAAATACATATATAGGGGATGTTTTACCTGTCAAAGGATTTGTATTTCTGTCCATCCAGTAAAGGGATTTTACACAGCTCTAACATGCAGCAAAGCCCTGCATGGCTTTATTTTTCTCTGCCACAGTTATATATTATTTCCAGGTATGGTATATTTTTACATAGTTACTTTGGTCCTATCGCACAGGTTCCTGGAATTGGCTCGATGCAAATGGGTGCTAGCAGCTACCGGCTAAGTACCAATGTCAACACAAGTCAAAGCATACAGTATATCTATATATACAGTACTAGATTGCAATTTACTGCTGTAATGTGATTGCTTTATTACATTTTTGGACGTTCTTTTGAAGATCCATGATGTGCTGGCAATCTATGCTTTGAACGTACACATGGACCCCTTTGGGCAGTTATTTTAGTAAGTATAAAAGAAGCACAAATTGAATTAACTTTACTGCCCTGCAGCTAGAATGTAGCTCATTAGTCAGGAACTGGTACTTTCATCACACACTTCTGAGACGGGTATTTCCATCATATCAAGGCCCAATTTGATCATTTCTTTGTTTCTCCTTCTAGACACTTGGTGCTGCATGCTCTGTGTTACACGGGACCTGCACTCACATCTGTTCAACACTAGACGAATGTATGAAGTATGTCACCAACCTGCATCCACTGATACAGGGCCCTCCTCTGCCTGTCCTACCAGAAGATGTTGTTGGCAGCAAACTTCCACAAAGCCGAAAGGTACAATTTCCGGTCTTGGCAACAAGAAACAACTGTCAAAAATAAAGTGAACATGACTGATTTTGCTCTACCTCATTAAGAATACACAGGGTTATTTACTAAAACTGGAGAGTTCAAAATTTGGTGCAGCTCTGCATAGAAACCAATCAGCTTCAAGGTTTTATTACCAAAACTTAATCGAACAAGCTGTAGTTAGAAACTGATTGGCTACCATGCACAGCTTCACCAGATTCTGAGACAAGTACACCAGTTTTAGTACATCTTCCCCCATTTGGCTTTGTTCTTGCAAGTATATGTAAAAATAGGTCATTATCAAAATAAATTCACCTTTTCTAAATAAATAAATAATTTGCATTTAATTGCAGGAGCTTGAAAAGAGTTCAGCAGATCACAGGTGCAATGTAAAGCTCCTGCAGACTGTCAATGTAGCCAGTCGTGTATTTAGATTGATTTTGTGCTGCCCTAGGCAACACAAAAATGTTGCCCCCCCAATGAAAGAGCGAGATAGTTCAACAAGTGTGTGTATGTATATATGATTCTCTCTCTCTTCTCTCTCTCTCACTTCCGTCTCTCTTTCTCTCTCTTCCCTCGCTCCCCTCTTCCCCATCTCTCTCTCTCTTCTCCCCCCTCTCTCTCTCTCTCTCTTCCCTCTCCCTCTCTCTCTCTTCCCTCTCTCTCTCTCTTCCCTCTCTCTCTCTCTTCCCTCTCCCCCCTCTCTCTTCTTCCCACCCCCTCTCTCTCCCCCCTCCCCCCCCTCTCCCCCCTCTTCCCCCCTCTTCCCCCTCTCTCTCTTCCGTCTCTTTTCCCTCTCTCCTCTCTCTCAGCCTCTAACTCTCTCTCTGGTAATCATAGTGTGTGTGTAGTCCCATACGATCTATCAGTGTATCATATGCTGGCTGGCTGGATGACAGGAGGGAGAGCCCAGAAAATACATCATATCTCATCTCCTCCGGGCTCTTTCCTCTCCCCCACTTCTCCTCTCCCTGCTCCAGGCTGTCCCCTGGTCCTGGCTCTGAGTGCGGGCAGGGAAAGGAGCTCAGCAGAGAGCAGCCACTCAGGAACACCAGGGCACCCCCTCCATATGGCCAGGTCTTTCTCTCCCTCCAGCAGCAGAAAGCTGGTGGTTGGGAGAGGGGGAGAAACCTCAAACCCTGCATGACTCTGTCCGCCGCTGCTCACCAGGTCCCTTCTTCTGGGGGGCGGTGCCGCCCCCCTAAAAATTGCTGCCCTAGTCAAACGCCTTGTTTGCCTCACAGTAGATACGTCCCTGAGTGTAGCTGTCTGCCCGTATCTCCAATATAAGCAGACATGCTCTTTTCAAATTATGACAAGGGATGCGTGGTGAAGATCCCCAGCTTTCTGTCACAGGAACGGGGGATGATTAGGGAGAGCTTCAGGAGCAGGAACATGTGTAACATGTTCCTAAAGGTGAGCGTATCCTTTAACAGTCGCCTACAGAAAATGAAAGGCAGTCAGTGATCTGTTAAAGTGAACCTGTCAAAAGGTTTTGCTGGAGTTTTTGGCTTTATTGAAGGTGTGACTTCATCAGCTTTGGTTCTAAGCTTCTTCCGCGAGCAATATACTGAACTCCCCTGTCCTCCATAAAGAGCTGCCTTATTTTGCCTTTAAATAGGTTAATTGTGGGTTAGTGGCACTCAATTGTACAAATAGAGAATTGGCCCTGAAGTCAGGATAGGCAAGAACATAATAACAAAGTGAAACCACCATCTATCTTCAATACTATTATAACAATATTATCAACACAGCTGATAATAAAAGCTGGCCCACTAACTACTGTGTATTATTAGCCTGTAACTATAATGGGAAATCTTTCTAGGCAAAGAAATAAGCTGATGGGAGAGAGCCAGCCTGAAAATACTAACAGTAGCTCTGATTTTGGACTTCCTCTGGGACAGTCAATTATGTACACATAGTGCCTGAACCTAAGACCACCGTGTAGTGTCTGGGGGCCTGTGTTGGATTAAAATGTAGAGAATGAAGTAGTGGGGAAATCTGCTGCAGAAAATATAGCAAGCTGAAATTTAGCATCATTTAATGCCTGGTTCACACCTATGCCTTTTGCGATTTATGTGTTTTTCTGGTGTATGTTGCATTACTTTTTGCATTTTTAAACAAACATTTTTTTATGCGTTTTTGTTTTTTCCCAATAAGAAAGTACTGAGTGTGACTTTGCACTCTCTGGCACTCAAAGTAACATCAAAGTAGTGCAGGAAACTTTTCAAAGTCTCATCAACTTTGAAAATGTTCCTGCACTACTTTTGATGCGACTTTAGTGCCAGAGAGTGTAAAGTCGCACTCAGCGCTTTCCTATTGGCCAAAAAAAAAAAAAAACACATCAAAAACACACCACTTGCATTTTTGGTGTGGTTCCATTGAAGCCTATTGCACCTAAAACACAATCTGCTACAGGAAAAAAATATCTGACCTTTTCGAAAAAGCAGTGGCTGAAAACGCATAGATGTGAAAGTGTCCAATAGGAAACTATGTTAAATGGTCTGTAGTGCGTTTCTGCAAAACGCGCTAAAAAACGTATAGGTGTGACTGAATATGTTTGAACCAGGCCTTACTCGTAGTATGATTTAGCTGAGTCAGTTTGTATGCAAGTTTTTTCATGGTCACTTAGAAGATATCTTGTGAATAATACAGAGCTGCATTGTAAAGGTTCCTGCTGTCTTCTTTCACTCTTCTCATGTGCTCTTTTTTTTGTTTTTGTTTTTTGGTAAACTGCATTTCCCTTCTTTCAGATAAAACGTTCCATCAGTCAGCCGGCAGTGGCAGCACCCCATAGGTGAGTAGGATTGGACTTGAGTTTAGATATAGACACTCCCTGCCATCCAACAGTTCTAGAGTCATCACAACAGAAATACCTTGACTGCCACCGAAATGTGGAATATGAAATTATGCTAGCCCTTAGAGAGGGCTTAATCTAACTTGTATTTTTTATAACTTTCTGAACTGGAAACAATGGTCACCAAGACCAAATGAGAGGGTAGATTTACCCAGCAGAGACACAGACAGCAATAACATCCTGACAGGTTCTAACACTTCATTAACCCAAAACATAAGAAAAAACATTTGGATTTATGTTATGGGGACAAAAGAGAGATGATTTGACAGTAACATGTCTTCATAGGACTGCTGCATCACCAAGGCGGAATAATGGGGTGACTGTAGTAAGGAATCTGGAGGAAATGGCAATGCGTGTACATTCTCGGGAACAGCATTATATGACATCTGGTAATGGCATTGTTGAGTGAACAGCATATATGTAACCAGCCTCACTGCCAAATAGGTAAGCCATTTTATGTTACTACAGTGCAGGTAGCTCATAATATAATGTTTGATTACCATATAACCTTTTTAAATACCCCCTTTATCAGTCATTGATAGAATTGGTTGACATTTCAAAGGATTCTTTGTGCAGTGAACAATTAAAGTTGAACTTCAGGCAGATATATGAGGAGCGTTCAGGTCAAATCAAGGCCTTTAATTTTACAGGTATAAAAAGAGATGCTAGTGTGGCGGTACTACATGCAGTAGTAAGTGGCAAGTGTGTCCTGTTACTGATAGGTGCAGGCCACATAGGTTACATATGTGCAGGCCAGTCCAGAGACCGTTAATCAAGATGGCAGACAACAGTGTTAGTACGTGCGTTGATGTGTGTGGTGATGAAGTTTCTTGTGAACGAAGGGGTAAAGCCTTTGGATATCTACAGAAGACTTCAAGCACTATACGGTGATGTGACGCTCAGCCACAGTACAACATTTGAATGGTGTAAAAGTTTTAAAGATTGTCGCACATCTGTCAGTGACAATCCTGGCCATGGTGGTTCCCAGCCCACAGCAGTCATTCCTGTTAACATTCAGCATGTTGAACACGATGCATAACCTGCTGTAAAATTGCATAATTGATGAATTTCAGCACTACTCTGTAGCAAAATACATAAATTGGTGCAGTGCTAAAATCTAAAATATTTAAAATCATAAAACTTATCCTAATTAAAGTGTCTAGTGACAAAGGTGCCAAAATGATCATAGACATCCAATATACATATATGGTTCAAATAGATAAGGTATCCAGTGACAAAGTGCCAAAATAGCATAAAATCCAGTGACTTTCGTGATCACATATATTCCGTCACTACCAGGGTGACAAGTAGTGTAATCAAATAAGAATAGTCCTGGTAAAAATGTGGGAGATTAAATTCTCTCCATTGAAGAGTGCTCCTTCCAAGCCGTGATGACATGACCGGTCAAAAAGTGAAGGTTGTGCACTCACCAGATGCACAGTATGACTGCGCATTTAGAGACAATATTCTCTTGTGGACCTGCTGATGGCTCCTATGTACATGGATCTGGTCTGGCCAGATGTTCCTCACCCCGCTTAATCCTGCTGGCAATCAGATTCAGTCTCCCCTTTAAAAGGGGCTCTGTGGGTAGTTGGTAGCTCACCAAGAGCCAAAGGAAAAAAATAGCGTGATACCATTTAAGGAATAGATTTATTCGAGTAAGCAGTGTGACATGAGGAAAAACAAAACACTGACCATGAGGTAAGTATAAAGATGGCCGCCAGGACCCACGTGGTGCCGGCGGCGTGACGTCACGACGCTGTAGCTCCTTCTCTGACGCATTTCGTGCTAACCGCACATCATCATAGGGGGTATGCTTCAGCGTCTGACAGATAATCGCGTCCTTAAATACCGTAAATGGTGCATGCACACTACACATGCGCCATTTTGTCTAAGGGATATGTCTCCATATCGGGCGCCATTTTGTTGAAGATCAGTAGAATCGCGCATGCGCAGGCGCTATTTTGCAGACCCGAAATACAAGTCAGTGCCACTAAATCACCAGGGAATGTAAAAGCTAAATCGTAACATATAAAAAATTCAAAAGAGAATGGTGAACATAAACGGACCATGTTAGTGCCAATTAGGTCAAGGAATGAGCAGTAAATTAGCAAAATTATTATTAATAAAGTCCGTTCCAATACAATCACTGCGCATATGCGGAAATTTTCTTTACTATACGTGAGAAATACAAATGCCATGTGGCTGGTATCAATGTATGTTAGTGTGGAAATATAGTAATATGAACCAATCCTATACATTGCCAAAATTGTTGATGAGAGTGGCACAAACATTGCTACAAATCAAGCAATTATGTAAAATCACGTCCAAATACATACAGTATATATATAATTATGAAATATGAAAATCCATTCATAACATGTACAATATTCTACATATTCCTCATGTGAATATGAAATAAAGAACTTTATTATTACATAATGACTAAAATGAAATTCACATAAGGAAAATATAAATAAATGTAAATGTAAAAATTATATAAAAATATAGATAAAAGTATATTAAAATTATATTAAAAATATAAAATTCGCAATGACCTAAAATGTGTCTAAAAAGTGTCTAAAAAATGTCTAAAAAAATGGGGATGAATGATATAAAGCACTAAAACCAGAAATAAAGTCTGGAAATTGAAATAAATAACAATCAAAAACCAATCCAGAAATGGAGGTAAAAGTGGAGATAAAATGTGGAGATAAAAATGGAGATAAACCAGTGAGAGAGAATTCAACTGTTATCAATGAAATAGTTAATATCTATGTCCGCATTTAGTCCTCTGGAATGTATGGATCCCATCTCAAAAATCCACTTTGTCTCCAGCTGAGAAACAGCTCTCTTTTTGTTAGTGCCCCTCCAGTGTTGGTGTACTACATCTATCCCCATGAATTTGAGGGATGACGGGTCTCTGTTATGACCAAGCCTGTAGTGTTTCGAAAGAGAGTGCTCCTTATAACCACGTTTTATATTATATACATGTTCACGTAGACAATCTCTTAGTCTCCTTGTTGTGCGACCAACATATTGTTTTGAGCAGGGGCATTGGAGCAAGTAAACCACGTATCTAGTGTTACATGATATAAAATTCTTGATGTCATATTTCTTATTAGTAGAAGTAGAAATAAAGTGATCAATTTTCCTTTTTCTATGATTACTACATATAACACATTTGTTGCATAGAAAAAAAACAATCATGTTATTAAAGGGTATCTTAGATGGGGGATTGATCACATTTGGGGCTATTTTGTTTCTCAAAGAAGTGGCTCTTCTAAACGTAATTTCCAGCAAAATGGCGCCTGCACATGCGCGATTCTACTGATCTTCAACAAAATGGCGCCCAATATGGAGACATATCCCTTAGAGAAAATGGCGCACGTGTAGTGCGCATGCGCCATTTATGGTATTTAAGGACGCGATTACCTGTCAGGCGCTGAAGCATACCCCCTATGATGATGTGCGGTTAGCACGAAACGCATCAGAAAAGGAGGTAGAGCGTCATGACGTCACGCCGCCGGCACCACGTGGGTCCCGGCGGCCATCTTTACACTCACCTCATGGTCAGTGTTTTGTTTTTTCCTCATGTCACACTACTTACTCGAATAAATCTATTCCTTAAACAGGATTAAGCTGTTGGCCTCCTTTTTTCCTTTGGCTCTTGGTGAGCTACCAACTACCCACAGAGCCACTTTTAAAGGGGAGACTGAATCTGATTGCCAGCAGGATTAAGCGGGGTGAGGAACACCTGGCTAGACCAGATCCATGTACATAGGAGCCATCAGCAGGTCCACAAGAGAATATTGTCTCTAAATGCGCAGTCATACTGTGCATCTGGTGAGTGCACAACCTTCACTTTTTCAGTGGTCATGTCATCACGGCTTGGAAGGAGCACTCTTCAATGGAGAGAATTTAATCTCCCACATTTTCACTAGGACTATTCTTATTTGATTACACTACTTGTCACCCTGGTAGTGACGGAATATATGTGATCACGAAAGTCACTGGATTTTATGCTATTTTGTCACTTTGTCACTGGACACCTTATCTGTTTGAACCATATATGTATATTGGATGCCTATGATCATTTTGGCACCTTTTCACTAGACACTTTATTTAGGATATGTTTTATGATTTTAAATATTTTAGATTTTAGCACTGCACCACTTTATGTATTTTGAGTCTTGAAAGGTTATTTGGTATCCTTTTGGTGCTTTGGCTGCTGTTTGCTTTTAGCGCTCACTTTTTACCATATTTAGTACTCTGTAGCAGGCTGTCCTAGGATGGCTCAGATGTAATGACAACTTTCTATGCTGAAGCTTTCCAGGCATTAGTTAAACGCTGGGATAAGCGTATAAATGTAGCAGGGGAGTATGTCAACAAATAAATGCAGTTTCCACTCCTTGAATTTGTTCTTTTATCATATAAACTCAAAAGTCTGGGTTTGACTTGAACACCCCTCATAAATACAAAGAATAATGCAGCATCATTAAAGTGTCATTAATCCTAAAACAAGTATTTGTCTATACAGTGCTATGAAAAAGTATTTGCCCCATCCTGATTTTTTCTTTTTTGCATATTTGTCACACTTAATTCAGATAAAATTTAAATATTACACAAAGATAATATGACTAAATACAAAAATGCAGTTTTTAAATGATGATTTAATTTATTAAGGGAAATAAGATGCCCAAACCTACCTGACTGTGAAAAAGTATTTGCCTCCTAAACCTAATAACTGGTTGTGCCACCCTTGGTGGCAACAATTGTAATCAAGCTTTTGCAGTAACTGCCAATTAGTCTTTCACACCGCTTTGGAGGAATTTTGGCCCACTCTTCTTTGCAGAATTGTTTTAATTCAGCCACATTGGAGGGTTTTCAAGCATGCACGGTCTGTTTACGGTCATGCCACAGCATCTCAGTTGGATTTAAGTCCAGAATTTGACTAGGCCACTCCAAAACCTTAATTTTGTTTCAGAGGTGGATTTACTGGAGTGTTTCAGATCATTTTCCTGCTGCATAATCCAAGTGCGCTTGAGCTTGAGGTCACGAACTGATGGCCAGACATTCTCCTCTAGGATTTTCTGGTAGAGCGCTGAATTCATGGTTCCATTAATTATGACAAGTTGTCCAGGTGCTGAAGCTGCAAAGCAGCTCCAGACCATCACACTACCACCACCATGTTTGGCCCACTCTTCTTTGCAGAATTGTTTTAAATCAGCCACACTGGAGGGTTTTCAAGCATGACCTGTCTTTTTAAGGTCATGCCACAGCATCTCAATTGGATTTAAGTCCAGAATTTGACTAGGCCACTCCAAAACCTTAATTTTGTTTTTTGAGCCATTCAGAGGTGGACTTGCTGGTTTGTTTTGGATCATTGTCCTGCTGCATAACCCAAGT